AATATGGACAGCAATCTGGATTATGCACAGTTTGTCAACTTTACAGGAAAGGACAAGGATGACAACATTCATTTTGCTTTATCAACAGTGAATGAGTCTCAGGAAGGTGAGTGGATCATTGATACAGGAGCCAGTAGGCATATTTGCTCAGAAATCAAGCTTATCCAAGGACTACAACCCCTTAGTCAGCCAGTAAATGTTTGCTTGCCAGATGGAACCCTGAAAAGAGTTCAGAAAAGGGGTATGGTCAAATTGAGTAACAATATAATCCTAGAAGAAGTACTTTATGTGCCATCTTTCAAATACAATCTAATCTCAGTGGTACAATTGTGCATCCACAATAACCTGAAGTGCTCTTTCACAACCACAAGCTGTGTATTGCAAGATCAGAAGAGTGATCAAGTAATGGGAATGGGGCACTTGAAAGGGAACTTATACATATTTCAGAACAATCAAAGGGATGAGACCAAAATATTCTTCAATTTGTCTATGGAAGAGTGGCATAAGAAGCTGGGTCATCCCTCTATTTCTACCATGAGACACTTTTCTTTCCTGAAAGAGATCAGTGACAAAAAGGTGAAGCTCTAATTCAGGAGTGCAATGTTTGTTTCAAATCTAAACAACATCGATTACCTTTTCAGAACAGCACAATACAGACAGAAAAACCCTTTGAGTTATTACACATAGATATCTGGGGGCCTTGCCATGGAAAGAATCTCACAAATACTCCTTTCTTCTTGACTCTGGTGGATGATTACACAAGGGGGACATGGGTATTCCTTATGAGTACCAAGTCACAAGCTGTTGGTTTGACAAAGAAGTTTATTACCATGACAACAACACAGTTTGACTGCAAGGTCAAGAGAGTCAGAAGTGATAATGGACAAGAATTCTTAAGTAAAGATCTGCAACAATTTTTCAGTGAGACATGCATCATTCATGAAACAAGCTGTACATATACTCCACAACACAATGGAGTAGTAGAAAGAAAACATAGACACTTATTGAACATTGGAAGGGCTCTATTGTTCCAAAGTCATCTTCCTTTGAAGTTCTGGCCATTTTCAATATTGGCAACTGCTTATATCATCAATAGAATGCCTAGTTCTGTACTTGGTTGGAAGACACCTTTTGAGAAGATGTACAACAAGGCACCAGAATATCATAGCCTGAGAACATTTGGATGTCTGGCCTATACAGCTAGTGTGGATCCACAAAAGACTAAGTTTGACAAGAGAGGTCTTAAATGCATTTTTCTTGGTTATGTCAATGGAAAGAAAGGTTTTCAACTCTATGACATAGAATCTAAGACACTGCTTGTATCAAGAGATGTCATATTCCTAGAACAAAATTTTCCCTATGCAAGGGATAACTTGGCTGAAGAAGAAAAGATACCCTTGCCAGTAGTTGAAGAAAACACTGAGCCATCAGAGGTGGATTCACTTGATACCACATCAGAAGTCCTTGAGGAACACACACAGCCTATGAACATAAGAAGAACTGAGAGGATCAGACAGCCACCTAAATAGCAGGCATATTATGTTTGTAACCAGGCACTGGAACAAAGTCCAACAACCACTGAACATTTCCTTACTTTCATGACAAATGTGAACATGGAAAAGGAACCCACTCACTATCAACAAGCCTGCAAACATCCTGCTTGGGTTGATGCTATGCAAAGAGAGCTGGAAGCTCTTGAAGAAAATTGTACTTGGGAACTCACAGAGTTACTAGAAGGAAAGAAACCTATAGGTTCCAAGTGGGTTTACAAAATAAAAAGGAAAAGTGATGGCTGTAGAGAGATTTAAGGCAAGATTGGTTGCAAAGGGTTACAACCAAGTGGCTAGAGTGGACTACTTTAATATTTTTTCACCAGTGGCTAAGTTGGTTACAGTTAGAATGTTCATTGCAATAGCTACAGTGCATGGCTGGCCTTTGCATCAACTTGATGTCAACAATGCCTTCTTACATGGGTACATTGCTGAAGAAGTCTTCATGACACCTCCACAAGGGTACACTAAGGCAGCAAAGGGGCAAGTATGCAAATTGGTTAGTGTTGGAACCCATGAGGATCTCGATATGCACAAATCACAGACAAACATTCAACATA